CTTATCAATGGAATAAACTCAGGTTAATTTTTATATATATGCAAATACCAGAAGAATTGTAAGAATAAATGTCTAATATGTAAACATATATTAAAGAGACTTCACTATGGTAAATTATTTAGTTTTATTATTTAAAAAGAAAAGTTAACTTCTTGGTGGTTAAGGACCCGTGATTAAATTTTGAAATTATTCAAAATTTGAAAAGTTTATAATAATAAGTACTTGAAATTTCAATTTAAATTAACCTGGATGGTGTTGAGCTGAGTGTCTTCAACGGCGACCTCCCAAGCGGGGTGGCCGTTGAGGAGGCTTCCGTACTCTCCGGCCGGCGTTGAATCCACGTCATGTTCTCGATCGGTTTCCCGGCCGCCAATGTACCGGAGTTGGACCACTTTGGAATTAAATTTCACGAACTTGAGCACATCAAAGTTGGTGGCATAACCATGCAAATAATCCAGCACCTCCAAATATGTCGGAAAATCATTGCTCTCACTCTCCGGCGGCCACGGGTAGTCGGAGAATTGAAAATCCCGGCGAGGGGTCTGCAGCCTGGTGGTCCGGAAAGAGCAGTGCCTCCACACGCCGCCGATCGAGTCCGTCGCCTCGAACACCACCGGGTGGTGGCCGGAGAGATGCTTGGCGGCGGCGATCCCGCTAATGCCGGCCCCGATTATGCCAATTTTGGATACTGATCGGCGGTTGTTTTCGGCCATTTTTTTAGCTGCTTATGAAGGTGGGTTGGTGATATAGAAGATTAATAATCTGCAAAAATTTGAGCTTTGAACTCTGAGCGATGGAAAATAAGTGGAGTTTAAGCGGGTATTTATACTAATTTTTGGAGACATTAATTTAATTAAGGTTGTTGGTTGGTCAAAATGATACTGTTTTTAGTCTTCTCCAGTTGATGATGATATTTGGTTTAAATACCATTTCGATTCTTATCAAATAAATTATTTTTGTTTCTATTTTAGTCTCTCAAATTTTAGATATTTTATTTTAGTTTTTATGTCGAATTGTTATCGTTCTATATATGTTAATCATATAACAAAAGTATAAATTTGTTCTAAAACTTTTACATTGAACCAAGATTTTGAAATATTTGTCTATTAACTAAATTAGATATACTTAACTGCTATTATTTTCAACTAAAAGATCGAAAATGTGAATCGTGACGTTGTTGAACTTTAAAAAAATATAATAATAAATAGATAAGCCTTGCTTTGGCGTTAAATTAACAATTTAGTTTCTATAGTTGGAGAATATAGTTTCAATTTCTTGGTTTAGCAACCTCACAAATTATACTACAAGAAATTTGAGTTTTCCCGACATCCAAAATTATCGCCATAGCTTATCTCAAAAAAAAAAAAAAAAGCGTCATAGCTCAATATTTCGTCGGAAAAACTCTCTCAACGATTTTTTCTGTCACCAAGTTCGTCAGCAAATTCCTATTGCAGTAGACTTTTGGTGACAAATTTCAGATTTCCTCGTCAGAAGTCTTTGGCAACAAAATTTGTTGAAATTCGTCGTCAAAGGTACCTATGGCGATGAAATGACGAATTCAATTTGGTCATCATATATATAATTTATTTAACAATTGCCTGCACACCTTCTAATTGTTTCATGTTACAAATTTTTTACTTTTAAACATTTCTTCAGATTTAAATCAAACTTCGTAAGCACACATCCAAAATTATCCTATAAACTTTGATTTATATTAAACGAAATGTGTGATGTTTGTAATCACTAAATATAGAAAGTTAAATACAATATAAGCTAAATTTAGACTACAACCTAAATATAAACCTAACCTAGTTAGAAAGGCTCCATCTTCTTGACTTCATGAAATCTCTTCTAATTCCCAAAGTTTCTTAAGAAGAAAAATAAAAAGAATCGGTGAAACAAATGAAAAAATAAACCTATGTGTGCAAAGAGTGACAATAAAGTGTTACTTTACCAAATTCATTCCACTATATTTTAGATGAACTTTAAAAATGGGACAAAAAGAATTAACTTCAAACAAGCAAAATGACCCTTCAAAGGCAAAACAAATAATCCTAACCTAAATTCATTTCAGACATCTCACTCGCCAAACATACTTCAAATCCTACGAACTCATCCAAACGCACTCCAGGTACCAAAAACTTAAAAACATGTCTAACTCACTCCACATCCCATAAATTCACCAAACTAACTCTTAAAAGCAAAAGATAAACATGTATATTAACTCATCCAACCTCATTCTAAATCCCACAAAATCGACTCAAAACACACTTCATATACCACAAACTCACTCAAACTAATTAGTGTCCAACTCATCCAATCTCATCAATTCAAATCCCACTAACTTCATACTAACCATTAAAAAAAAAAGTGTCTAACTCATGTAATTAACCTAACTCTCTATGATTTAGTACGACTACCATAACTGCAGCATAACCCTATAATTCCAAGTAAACTCCACTATATCAAGAACGAACTAATCCATGTTAGATAGTTATACAAGATAATAATTAATTATACGATGCAACATACAATCAAACATGCAAAATACAATAAGTTTCAATATGGTTTTTGTGAAGCGCGAGTAGAAATGAGGGGTACATGAATGAACCGATACCACCTCCAAATGAGAGGGATCCTGAGATCATGGAAGAGTAGTCAAGAAAGGCTTAAAAGAATTGATAGTCACTACCTATACTAATAATGTGCACTTCCCTTTTCGGTGGCTCAATCATAAGAACTCCAAAGTTAAGTGTACTTGACTTAGACCATGTGAGTGAGGACAAAACATGTGTCTAAGTAGCTCAGAACTAGACGGTAGCACAACTAGTTCGCAGTGGACGTAGGGGAATGCTGAGCCGATTAGCTGAGTCAAATCTAGATTCTGAATCCTCGGTCTGGGGCATTACAGTTTTATTACATTAAATAAATTATTCATACCTAATTACAAGGGACCTGTGCGTTTGCCATTGTACGATCCAAAAAAGTCTAATTGAAAAACATGGACAAACTATTAGTAACTATAGATCAAAACAACTCTAGAAAAAAAATTTAATGCAAGAGCATAGTTTAAGTTCATAATCGTAACTCTATCAATTCTAGTACTCTTAAATCATCTCAAGCAAGCCAACATGTCCATAACTCATCCTAACCTAAATTCACTCAACACTCACCAAACACACTTCAAATCCAACAAACTAATCCAAAGACACTCCAAATATCAAAAACTTGCTCAAACTACTTAAAAATCTAAAAAAACATGCTTAACTCACTCCACAGTTCACGTCCCATAAATTTACCTTCTAACGGACAACAAGGAGGCACTTCCCTTGTGTGGTATATCTGTCGCCTACAAATAATAGATAAGTCTTCAATTCTCGAAAATTTTGGATATATGTGAAAGATTTAGGTTATTGCAAGTTTTTGAATGAAGAAGAAGGAAGAAATTAAAAATATAGCTTGAGATGCTCATATTGCTCTAAAAAGATATATAAAATTAACAACAAATCAAGTAAGATTTATACCTTATAAGAAAAGAGAGACGACAATGAGCAGTGGCAGCAACGGACGAGCACGACGAAGAGAAGACACACCCACGATGGACGAACGGAAGGATGGGGGGGGAATGCGTGATGGATGTAATGAGGGATAAAGAGGGAGGACGGAGGAGCAACGACAGAGGCAGTGAGAGGGAGGAGGACAAAAATAGAGAAATGAAAGGGGAAGGAAAATGGTTAGGTTAAATTGTAACCTATAGTGACGAAATACAATTTGTCAGGAAAACCTCTAATTTCATCGCGTCAACTTTCGCGAAAAAATTGGGCGGTCAAATTTTCATGCTTTCTCAAAGCTTTTGGGGATGAAAATTAAATTACTTCGCCATAAGTTTTGAATAAAATATCTCAAATCATTCAAAACTTTTGACGACGATCGTCAAACATAGTTCTTTTTTCTTTATTTTAAAATGGAAAACGTTACCAAATAAACTCTTGGCTAATAGTTTTTTTTTTATTTACAAAACTCAAGCATTAAAATAAAATGTTTGAAATTTGACCGAAATAAAACAAGCACGAAATTTTATGTGCCAAGGATCCAATGAAAATTTTTAAAATTTTTCCTTATTGCTAATTGATTTTGTGATATAACTCCATATAAATATTAGTATTCTATCAGAGTCCAAAAAAATCAAACAAACATTCAATCTAAAAATAAGGTCAGATCAAGATTTGAAAGCCCAAGCTTGTTTTTCCTAAATATTGATCTGAGAAAAATTTATATAATTGAGGTTGAGATGAAATTCCATAAATATTGATATAATTCACTACAATAGGGTTTAAGTCAACCAATTGAAACCCTTTTATTTGTTTATTGTTAAAACTATTACTCTTTTATTTATTGATTGATGTGTATGAAATCAATTGAATTTTCCATGCAATGCAACAAGGATTGTTTTCCCACTACTAAAAATAAAATATTTGAGAAATTCGACAATATTCAACTATAAATTAAACTGTTTTCATATTTTATAATTTTTGCATAATGTCAACCAATCGACGGCCCTTAATATTTACTTAATTTCCTTGGTGATGAGATTTGTAGAAATAAATTAATCCACAACCAACCAAGTTGATCAACTATATTAAGTTTAATAATACTTTCTTAGTTGGCATTTTTATTTATTTATTTATTTTTGGTCTTTGGAGGGACTAACATTTGAAATCTTACAAGTCTTAAATATTTTCTTTAAATATTTTCTTTTCTCATACACATGCTACTAAATAGTTTAGAAGTTCTCAATCAGATATACACATAATAAAATGATTAATATATACCTTTCAATTCAAGCACCTTTTTTTTCCTAATAATTCTTACTTGTGATTTTTCAGAAAATATTTTTAAACTAATGTATTTTATTTATTAAAAATATTTTTAGCCAATTTAAAATCACTTAAAAATCGGAGTGATCCTTCTAAAATAATATTTTTATTTTAAAAAAATATTTTTTCCAAAAACTCTAAATGATAACCGAACATGGTATTCGTGGTAGAATAGTTATACATTTATAATATGTATCCATAATTTTAGTATATAATTTAGACTTTCGAGATCATTATTTTAGTAACCAAAATTCTGCGAATGGTTGGATATGATTAATTCTCCTTGATGTTTATTTTATTTGGGCATTAAGGTGAATATAATACCAAAATTAAATAAAGATATATGCATAGATGCCTTAATTTTGTTGAAGATGTATGGGAAATGTTTGAGAAATGAAGAGGAAATTTAACAAAAGAAAATTTGGGTTAGGCCTTTGGAGAAGAAAAATGGGATAAATTTGTGGAAGCAATCTCAAATGCATTTAACTTGGTATAAAAACTTTATAATGAGTGAAATTTCTTGCAAGTCACATAGCTCTCTGTCAAATTTGAAAGCTACTATACTAGGTAAAGTTATCCCGCTATCTCTATCGACAATATATATACACCAGTTGTGTCAAATTTTATTTCCATTTTTTGTTATAGTTTCAATTTTGTCCTTATACTTTTAGGTTATTAAACCGACTTAATAATTCTTATCATCAATGTGTTTAAATCTTGTTAATTATTTAGCTCTAATATTAACCACTTGTTAAACGATAGAACAGTTCAGATAAATGAATTAGACGGATAATTAATAGTATAGAACAAAAAGCTTAATTGAGCAAAGAAGAAAAAATTTCCTTCTCCCTCCTACCTTTTCGATGTGCTCTTTTTTCTCCAAACTTACGGGAAATTGAACT